AAACAAAATTTAAAAACCACTTCACTCATTACCAAGTTCCAATTATAAAAAAAAATGGAGCGAAACCGATTTCATCCTTTATAAATAACATCTTACAAAGTAGTAGTGTTGTAGGACTAGACATTCAGAATTGATCAGTAAATAAGTAGAATCCAGATGACGTAATTAAACCAGGTATGGCTGTATGTCATAAGAAGCTATAGCTATTTGTGGTCCAAGATTTTGAAGAAAGCATATTATTTTTGCTTGTCACCAAGGAAAAGTTGAGTCTACCACTAAAAGTATCAAGTACACGTTCACCGATACCTATATATCTTATAGAAGGGGACTTTCAATTTTAATGCTAAATTTCATGACACTAATCTTGAGCAGTTGATCGTGCATTATTTAGTACTGCAAATGATTAATTGTTAAATAAGTCTTTTTGTTTTCCACCTTTCTTCCTTTCTATACTTATTGTTTTACCTTTTGAAGCCTTCAGACCAACCTAACACAGTTCTTCATGTATGTTACATGTCTTTCACCTGCATGTTAGCATGGGCTATTTTATTTTATTCATGAATAAATGAAGGAAATTTTGTCCATACTTGTTGAATATGCAAGTTATCACTTGTTCTCTGGAGGTCACTGAAGCTCCACCAGTCTATGTTTCAAGGAGTCTCCTCCCCCAGTATTTTATCAGAGCGCACAGCTATGCTTATAGGGTTGGTTTTTTTCCCCTCTTGCCAAGACTGGCAGTTCTCTTTAATGTGTAATACTGATAACTGTTTGTAGTGTTGAAACTTTTCCTGACTGATAATTGCTTCTGTCAGATTGTTGTTTTCTTTTACCTTCAGCTGCAGGATTGTTTTGAGAGTGGTTTATGGGGGATGCTGGTGTGCATGGCCATGAAGCTTTCCGGTTTTTTTGTGGGTTGTTTTTTTTTTTTAATTACCTACATTTTAAAATATCTTAGTATTTGGGGATTTAGAACAGGGAACCAAGTTCAGCATGTTTCCTAATGATATACCCTTGACTATCTTCCAGAAAACCTACTCTTAGACTCAGTAGTTTGTATTTTCCCGTATGGTTGATGGGGATTGCCAGGTGCCTTGCAGCCGTGCTTTAGGTGGACTGAGATGCTCTGCGTTGCCAGGGCGGTGGATGCACTGAGCCTGCTCCTGACTGGTGCTATGGAGGATGAACAGGATCTTCCAGTTACTGGCCTGAGTTACTGGCAGTTGCTGTTGCAATGGCAATGAGAAATGTAGAAAAAACAGGCAACATAGGTACCTAGAGATGAAATAATGGAAAGCTTAGTAGCAGCACCAGTGTGTTTTTAATGCTCTTTCTGCCCAGGTGAAGGAAAATAATTGCCTGACTGATGCAGAAAGCATCAGGGGTTATTCATGCTTTCTTGGGAAAAAGCATGCTTTATTGTGATTGTAATAAGGACTCTCTTTTCAACTTCTCTTCTTCCAGAGTCCCAGAAAGTAGGCAGATATACTTGGCATGGGCTAAACTTCTGGTTACTTTTGACCTTGAGGTCACTAGAACAGGAAGGACAGTTTTGTCTGCAGATTGCAGGGTTATTCGCATAGCATGCCCTGCGTGCTTTACGTTGAAATTAAGGTTTTCTCCCTTTTGAGTTTCTGACAAAAGGCTTAGTTTCTATTTCAGGTCCAACCCTGTATTGGGAGATTTTTTTTTCTCCAACTTTCAGTATCTGTAAAGCACTTTGAAGCCATCCAACTGAGACTTTTTTTTTTTCCAGTTTTTATTACTAAAGTGGGATAGGTCATTAAGTTTTTCTGCCTTCCTCCCAGTGCTCTGAGACCACAATAGACTAGACTCTAATTTGATTAGTTGACTAACCAGACTGCTGTTACTCAAAGAAAAATCAGCATCTTGAATCTAGATTGGTGGAGATATCACAGAAATCAGTTTTCCAGCTAGGAACAAAATTTCCTCATGGTTGTTAAAATTTTCTTTGTATGTGCTTTGTTTTAGCATGACAGTTAACAATATTGACTTCTTAATTTTGGTTTTAATATAGTTTTTCCATTGGAATATATTCAATAAGCAAATACAATTTTCAATCTTTGTGTCAGAAGTCTAAAATCTTAGCATGAAGCAGTGACTATGCATATATTTCTAGTTGTATTCCTGGCACACTAACTGGAATAAAAGCATCCCAGTGCTTTTTAAATACATCTTAATTCAAAGTGCAGCAATTGTTTTGTTACAAAATCTGTCTATCAGAATGGACAGGTTGAAGTGGTAGGTTATGAATTTAGATGGTTAGACTCTGCTGGAATTGCACATTCTTTTTATTGGAAAAACTGTAAAGTGTAAATCTGAGCAAACTTAAATATCAGGAATACTAATGGAGTGTCTTCTCAGTGTGATAAATGAGCTTTGTTAGCCTGACCAGGCTCATTTGGAGCAGACTCTGGTAACTCTTAACAAGTGTCACCATGTCTAGGGGAAATGCCTTCACTTGAAACAGGGAGATGGGACGGTCCAGAAGAAACACGAGGCACAATTTCGACTTGTGGCTTATAAATGCAATTCCTCTAAAATATTTAAATTCTGAATTTAAGAACAGAGTAGTTTTTGAGCATTACCACAGTTGATACACTTAAAGAGCCTGCTGAAAACCTACAGGAATCTGGATTCATTGTTCCAAACTCCTTTGAGCCTTTTCTGAAGTTGAAAATTTAAAAAAAAAACAAAAAAACCCCCCAAAAGCCCAACCATTCAGTTGACCACCACCCCCCGCAGGAAAAAGAAACCCTACAGCCCAAAGCTTGATTTCCTTAGGAGACAGGTACAAAATTCCTTACTTTGAACAGGATGTAATTGTGCTTTAGGTTTTTTCATGTGTTTTTCCCCTACCTTCAAGAATCTTCAGTATAGATGGTATTATGTTGTACTTCAGAAGATTCAACAGCAGCTTTTCTCTTCTGTCCTTACAGTTGTTTTGCTATGGATACTATTGCCAAATAAAGCTTCTTTTGAACTCCAAAAAAGTATTGCTTTCAATACTAGCCAAGAGAAGATAATTAACAAAAGATATTTAAGAATAATGCATTGTGCAGCACTTCTAGCCTGTCCTTAAGATTACAAAATCTGAATCTTATTTTTATGTTGATCTAGCTTTTTGCATGGTAGCTCAGGATACTGTTGATGGTAGAATTAAGTTCATATTTATGTCCTTTGTTCAAGTTTTCATTAACTTTTCAGATTTCTGTAAGTGATATTTTTGTATAGTGCAGACTTCAAATTCTTCAGCTGATTTTCCTAAAGATATGGTGCAGATATTGATCAATGGAATAAAGTTATTGAACAATTAGGAACACCATCAGCAGACTTCATGAAGAAACTACAGCCTACAGTGAGGAATTATGTAGAAAACAGGCCAAAATACCCTGGTATTAAATTTGAAGAGCTCTTCCCAGACTGGATATTTCCATCAGAATCTGATCGTGACAAGTTAAAAAGTAAGGCAAGGGGTTTTTTTTCTTCTTTTTAAAGATGTTAATTTAAAATGTCTGCAATACACTTAATTAAAAAACCCTAATATAAAATGTTTATTGCAATAGGTGTCAACATTAGAAGTTGCGTACTGTGTCTTTCATTTGATATGTCCTGAAATCTTAGTAGTAGTTGTCATTAAATACAGAACTATTCCTTGTTCCTAGTATTCTGTTTAATTCTCTGAATACTAACCCATTGAATAATGTGTCTCTCTTGAATGTTCTCTGAAAGTAATACTTGTTATGGAGGGTTTTTGCAATTATCTTTTTCTAGTTGATGTGTGCATACAATTCATTTTGGCTATACTTTGACTTTAGATAATTACCGATAAAATGAAAAAAAAAAAAACAACCCTTATTATGTTCTCTAGATAGGCTATAACAAGTTAATTCATGTAACAAATTAATAAATTTGAGCATTTTATTATTACAATGATTGTTCAGACAAAAAAGAAATGTCAGTAAAGTGCCACTGCAACAATGAGCAGCCAGTTACTGTGCAGTAACACCTTTAAAAGAAAAACTAATTTGATATTAGAGAAATTAGATCATTACTGTACCAGATGTATTTTTTTAAAGTTTATTATAAATGTTTGGTGTGTTCTGTGTTCAATAGTTAGTGTTGAATAAACTGTGTCCTGTGTGACAATGTAACTGTTCAAAATTGAGGTCGATTGGTGTCAGCTGCAAGGTTTATGTTTTGGATAAGAGTAAATAACATTTACAGTGAAGGATTTGTGACCTCACTTTAAAAAAAAAAAAAGTAACAGCCTAGGAAAGCTTGCATCTCTGGGCCTGTTCTGACAGTGCATGCGAATGCCTCTGTGTATATGGCAAGATGTGGAGATCTGGTACTACAGTTTATTTTAAATCGGTACATAGTGAGATTTATCTAACCGTATAGGATTAAAAGTTAAGTATTCTTGTGTCACCAGTAAAACTTGTTGAAAAGCATAGATGCTTAAGAAATCTGTTGCAGTGTGTCAGACATGAAATTCTACAGCTCTTTTACATGTTCTTTTCATTTTTACTTTCTAGCCAGTCAAGCTAGAGATTTATTATCAAAAATGCTTGTAGTAGATCCAGACAAGAGAATTTCTGTAGATGAAGCCTTACGTCATCCTTATATTACTGTCTGGTATGATCCAGCTGAAGCAGAAGCTGTAAGTTTGCCTTTAAAATAAATTTTAAGATACCAGTTTAATAACTTTGTTTTAGTCAAGAGCATGCTTTGAATTCATTGTTTGGTTAGCAAAAGTCACAGATAAAGCCTTCAGATCAACATTAGGGGCAAAATTGCCTGAAGAACAGCTGCTGGAGTGGAAGTGATACAATTTTCAATGTAGTTGTTGATAGTTCCCTTTATGGAAAGTTGCCTGTGCGATGGTAATCTAGGGCTTTTTGAAAAGGGGACTTCTCTAAGGCCCCATAAAGCCTTAGGATGAGTTTAATTTTAGTTGACGCTTTTAAACAGCCTTTCAGTGGGACATAAGACTTAAAAGCAGATTCTAGAGTTGTGAAATGAATGTAATTTTGAGGTATAGGGACTAGAATGCCAAAGATAAAGGTAACAAAATGCTAAAAAAAAAAAGTCATTTTTAGGCTTTTTTTAGTTGTGATTGCTTATGTTAACCTGATGTAGTAGATACGCTATAGACTTTCTTTTTTTTTGTAGCCTCCACCTCAGATCTATGATGCACAATTGGAAGAAAGAGAACATGCAATTGAAGAATGGAAAGGTAAAAACTGAGCATGACAAATGACATTTATAGTAATAACTTTTATTAGTATTGTGTGACTTGCAGTCCATGTGTGCTGGATTGTGTAACTGACCAGAACCCCCTATTGTGGTTATGCAGTACTGCTTGTGGCAATATGAAAAGAAATCAATAATGGAAAAAAGTTCTGTTTGGAGTGAATATGTAAACATATATACACACACACATCCATATAAGTACATATATATATATATATGTAACATTCTAAAGTCTGTTCAACAAAATGCCATGGTTTTCATTGGTTTTCCTGAGTATTCCTTCAGGACCAGACTGCTCCAGCATGGGTCCCCCCAAGGGTCACAAGTCCTGCCAGCAAACCTGTTCCACTGTAGGCTCTTCTCTCCATGGGGCCACAGGTCCTACCAGGAGCCTGCTCCAGGGCTGGCTTCCCACAGGACCACAGCCTATTTTGGGCATCTACCTGCTCTCGTGTGAGGTCCTCCATGGGCTGCAGGAGGACCGCCTGCCTCACTGTGGTTTCCATGGGCTGGCGGGGGATGTCTGGGTCCACCACAGGCGCGCACTCCCCCTCCTCTGACCTGGGTGTCTGCAGAGTTGTTCCTCTCACATATTCTCACTCCTCTCTCTGGCTGCAATTGCTCTTGGTGTTGCGCATGGTTTTTTTTCCCCTTGTTAAGTCTGTTATCCCAGAGATGCTACCACCGTCACTGATGGGCTCAGCCTTGGCCAGCAGCAGGTCTGTCTTGGAGCCAGCTGGCATTGGCTCTGTCAGACATGGGGGGAAGCTTCTAGCAGCTTCTCGCAGAAGCCACTCCTGTAGCACCCCCTGCCACCAAAACCTTGCCACACAAATCCAGTACATCTGTAATCATTGTCATAGGCCTTAAAAAAATCCCCCAAACCCCCAAAAAAACCCAAACCAGCCAAACCCCCAAAACTCCTCCTAAAACCCCTGTATAGTTGTGCTTCCAGACTGACCTTTAACAATTTCATTGTACCTTTATGCATGTGGAAATTGTATACAAATCCTCTGTCATCTTAATGGGTTTTTTCTGTCTCTTCTCTCATTCCTCCTACTCTTCTCTATGAAGAATTAATATACAAAGAAGTAATGGATTGGGAAGAAAGGAGCAAGAATGGTGTGGTAAAAGATCAGCCCTCAGGTTAGTCATTGTTTCAGTAGTTCTCTATGATGCATAGTGCTGATCTGTTGCACTAGTGAATGAGGAAATCCTGCTTAATAATCCAGGTAGGCAAAAGTTTTGTTGTTCAAGACTCCTGATTCTGGTCAGCCTTTGGAGATCCATGCACAGTAGTTTTACATTGTTATGAAGTAAGTTGCAGGAAAACTTAAGAAGTCTTGTGTGTCCAACACCCTGAGCTGCCTTCTACCCAAAGGGCTCAGTCATCAAATGAAATAATTGATACCATGTTATATCAGCTGTTGCTTAGATATCTTTTATGCTGAATGCTTATTCTGGGGCTCTGTATGAATGAGTTCCTTTCATGCAGGGTTCAACATTGTTAGGGTGTCTTGTTTTAAAATAGTTAATAGTGCAAAGTATTTATGCCCATGATTGAATCCTTGATGTTTGCTACTGTTCTCTTGGTTCAGTAATTGGAATATTGTGCTGTCTTTCATTAACTATATCTATTAGATCTCCTGATACTTGGGTCACTATTCACATTATACATTTTTATTCTACTTTGTTCCTCTCCGGAGAGGGAAGAAAAAAATCTCTTAATGCTCACCTCAGGATTTGAGTGCTAAGGAACTTAGTGCTTGCTTTTCTAGTATTTATTAATTTATTTATTTTCTAAAGATTTCTGTGGGGAAAGCGATGCTCAGAACCTAGAAGTGTGGTTATTTGTACTTGCAATATTGTCTCGCCTCAGATTTTATTATGTTTGGTTTACTTAGCACAGATGCAGCAGTGAATAGCAACACCAGTCCTTCCCAGTCATCATCTATCAATGACATTTCATCCATGTCAACAGAGCAAACATTGGCCTCAGATACAGACAGCAGCCTCGATGCCTTGACAGGACCCCTTGAAGGATGTCGATGATCAGCCAGGATTGCAGACGTGACTTTGGAAAAGAGCTCTTGCTTCCATTGGGCCTGAATTGCTTGTAAGTTAATGGAACCAAGTAGAAAAACTCCATGTTCTGCATGTTCTGCTAAAGTAATGCCTGTTTTTTTTTACTCAGTTGTTATGAAATTGCCTGCTTAATGTTGTAGAATGAAAGCAAATCAATGTCTAAAGAAAAAAAAAATTAAATTTAGACACTGTTATAGGCTTTTCTTTGTTTCGGCCTATTTCAGGTGAGCAGTTATAATAGACTTTTAGCCAATAACTCCTCTTAAGTGGGTTCATGAATCTTCAGTCCCAACTGGCAGGCTTCTGTGACACAATGGTTGTTTACATTTTAGTACAGTATTGCTCATTAGTAGGTTTTTTGAATGTATAGTCTCTATGAAGTTCGTTTTAACGTGTGACTGTGGCAGTTTGCTTTATTTAACGACTGGAGTGTTGTACGTAAATGTGAACTCACATATTAAACGCTCTCAGTACTATGTTTAAAGGGCAGTTATTCTTCCACATAGCACTTTTTTTAATTGAGCCCTTTCTATCTTCACTTTCCAACAATTCTATCTTGTAGAAGAGATAAACATGAAGTTTAAAGAATAGAGCCGTTACTTCATATTTCACCTATGAGTATGTGTCTCTAATTTTTCAGTTTTTTTAAATGTGGATGGAAGATACAGTGGCTTAATTAAATCTTAAGGAAGGATGAGTGATTTATCTGTGAAGCAGTGCCTGTTTAGAAGAGGAGAGAGTGCTAAAATGTTCTGTATTTTCTAGCTTGTGATATTGGTCCTTTAACAAAAACAAACAGAAAAGAAAATTGTGTGTGATGCTCTTTATTCACTGTAAACTCTGATAAAAGGACAGATAAATTGGGGAGAGTTGCAGAAATGTTTTCCATTTTTTAATGGGTCCATTCTATCTAGCAAGTAATTAAATAAAAATACAGTAGGTTTGAGTCACTTGTAAATTAAGTATTTAGTCAACAGAGCTTAGCTCTATTCCTGCCTTAGGAAAACCTCTCTACTTGTGCTGGGGAGGAAGACCTATTTAATACATATTTTCTAAATACAGTGTCAGAAAGGAGGAGGCGATTATTTGCTGTTTCAATACAGGCTTATCAATACAGTTTTCAGAATCAGATAATACATTGCACAAAATGTTGAATTAGAAAATGCCTTTTCAGTAGAGTAGGGCTTAAATTGCTTTATACTACACACTTGTGAATTTGTGCACGTTCACTTTGGAGTGCACAGGTGTGAAATTTTGCTAAAGGATCTTGTGTGTGCATGCGTGTGAGATTAAACTGTATAACTATAAGAGTAACAGATGTACAAGATGAGGTGAAACACCACTTCCTTAAAGGCACTATATTTAGCTGTTGATGCAGATACTCTTGACTTGAATATATAAATAGAACTTATAAAATATACTGGCCCAGCCAGCCACTGCATTACTGACATATTTCTCTTGTAAAAGACAATTGTTTATTGTTTCTGACCTTACGATTTGAAAAGCAGCAATTTCTCTTTATGTAAACATTGATTTTATATTAAAATTATACCCCTTTTTAATTGCTTAATTTGTTGTAGCAAAAATATGAGAGTTTTACTGTCCCAGAAGGTTTAAAAAAAAAAACAAAGTACTTAATGTTAACTTCAGAATTGTCATCTGGAACCTTGGCTTTTTAAAATTCTGTTCAACTGAATTGCAGGATATTGGGGCTTTGGGTTTTTTCTTGTCATTTGGTTTTAAACCTACGGATACCTTAGTTTATCTTTGGATACTGACAGTATATGTGAAATATTTTTAGTGCATTTTTGCCACTGGAAAAAACATTTAAAAATACCTATTTACTGTGTAGTAGAACAGTACAGGTTGCTGTTCTTTGGCATTTTATTAATCCTTGTTATTTGTGTAAGTTAAAGTTACTAAAGACACCTAATCAAAATGAACATTAGTGATTCACTATGGAATCTACTGGATTTCATTTTTCAACATTTTTATCTTATTCAACTGGAGTTGCACTGTGCTATTTTCATTTTAACAGATACTGCTTTAGAAGACTTAACACAACAAAGGGTTTCTTTTTTTAATGTGTTTTGGATATTCACAGCTGAATTTTTTCCTATTGGACTTGGGCTGCTCAGAACACAGGGGGTTGGACCAGATGAACTCCAGGTCTCTTCCAACCTAAATTATTCTATGATTCAAATTTGTCTTTTAATGTCTCTTAGCACAACTGCCCTATCTCCATGATTTGAACTGATATCTGACCTTCTCCTAGTATATACTGCTAACTTGAATATGTACTCTTAGAGCAAAAAAAACCCTGAAACTAACTGTTGTAGGAAAAGTTGTCTCATACCTTATTTTCTTTAATGTCTTCTTATTACGACATACACTGAAGCTTCAAAATTTTACAGAAATGTTGCTGCCTTCGGAGCATGTATGAAATGTCTGTGAATATTGCGGATTTTGATTCCAGTACAATTCAAAACCAAATTGCTAATAACCTGAATGATCTCAAGAAGACACATACGCAGCTTATATTCAGAAAAACGCATGCTGAATAGACGCATGCTAAAGTTCCCATGCTATTTCAGTGTGTGCATATAGACTATAAATGTGCTGCATGCAGGTTATATACATATAGTTATATTCCTGACTGATGATTAAGTTCAGCGCCACATTTGTGAAATGGTTGTCAATGCTGTGAGAACCTCATCACTGATGGAAAACAAAATGCACATGTAACTTGACAGGGGTTTAAAAGTTGAGAGAGTTTGGTGTGCAATATAATCACTTTTATTCCTAATACTAAAATCATGTATGTAAAGTGATGCAGTTGACCATTTTTTTTTGCACTTTGGCATTTATAAATATTTATATGTATTTAAAGATTAAGAATAAGTGGGGTTGTGTATACATATATATATTAAGAAACCTGCTCAGTTTTGTAAACGTGAATGTTATTTTTCTTTGAGAGACTTTGTATAGTGTTAACACTACTGCAGTATACATAAACAATATATGAAATACAACTAAAAATAAGTGGTGGTCAACATAGATACAATCTGTAATCTTAACTGCTCACCTGAAAAAAAGAGGGATCTATGGCTATCAATCAGATTATTTACCAGAAACATTATGTTAAATATATGAACACTGAGTAGCTGAATGGCATTGCAGAAATGGAGTATGTTTTAAACAGTTCATTTCATCTGCGCTCATATCATTTTTCCTCAAAAAACCACCCCAAAACCAAACAACAAATAACTTAGAGAAGCTTGGCCTTTGGAAATCTGGATAAGCAAGCCTGTAAGTGCGCTTTGAGGAAATATTGTGATATGACAAGTCTAGGTTTTTTTATTGAAAAAGATGAGAAATGAATGTCAAAATTAAGGCTTTGTCTGCATGGATCATACAAAATAAACTAGGCTAATGACTGGAAACTAGTGTTTGCAAGCAGCCTTTGAAGCTTTGTAACGTTTCCAGTAAGGGTTTACATTTTTTTGTCAAAATAATGAAAATGAAACTCGACCTTAACTAGAAATTAACTAGTTGGTTGGGAAGTTTCAAAAACTGTTAGGAACCAGAGGGCTCTTGAGGTTTTTTGTGTCTTTTTAAAGTCTGAACAGAGCATATGTGTTTGTTCAAAGTTAATTAAAAAAAAAAGTTATTCCATATGTTTAATTTTTCTTTCCTAAAGGAAGGAAATCAGTTTCCTTTTTAGATCTGATTGTATTTGGCTTAAAATTGTAATTTTATGAATGAAGTAGGATTTAGACATTCAAAATACAGCAGACATCTCAAGTCTCCAAGAACTGAGTGGATGACCCTTCTTTTGGCAGAAGCGCAGTCCTGTAGTTTGGTGTGTGCTGGAAATTCAGATGTTAAAGTGCAGACAAATCTTTACTGACCGTAATGCCATTTTGGAGTACGGGTTCAGTCTTGCAGCAATACAGTTTGTGTGGAGTGTTTCATTTGAATTGTGACCCTTGAAGTGGAAGTACTTTAAGCACGGTGGGGGGTAAATGCTGAACAGCCTTTGTCTGTATATTCTATATGCCATATGGATTCTATCAGGGCTTGATGCTAAACTTAGTGATACCATATATTGGGAACCAAAATTCTTTCCTGGGATGTGTATTGTGTAATTCCTGCTCAAAACTGGTTTTGATCCAGGAACACCTGCACCCAGATGCAGAATTCGAACTTGAGTTCCTGTAGATGAATCTAGTATCTTCTTTGCTTTTCCAGAGTGTCTTTGATTATTTTTTTTTAACATGTTGAAATATGACAGAGAAAATGTATTCTGGCTCATTATTTTACATATATATATTTTAGATTGTCTATTACATGAGTGATAGTGATGTTCTAAAAGCTTATTACACAGCTTATCAAATCAGTTTTATTTTTTGCCTGCTCTGCATGCTAAAAATGTCTGGAGCTAAACTAATGTTTTAGGTAAACCATCTTTTCTCATATTAGTGTTGGAGGAAAGTGGAGAGATAACCATCATTTCTGTTTGTGTTCTATAAAATAACTATTTTTGTAGCTAAAATTTTAGTTGTTGGATTTCAATCCCACAGTGTTGCTTTGTGGATATAAATTTACCTGGGTCCGCTATTTCAAACAGTATGTATAACAAGTCCAGTATAAAATTAAACTAATAAAATGCACTCTTCTGCAATTTGTTATTGAAAACATGGCAAATTATTTTGGTCCAAGAATTCAAAACAAAATAGAGAAAATACATTTAACTATTTAAGTTTTTATTCTTTGATGCTGCTGCTTATTTTTTTAAAAGGTGCTTGCAGTTTTGCACAGAAGAAATCAACTTTATTAATTGCTGGGTTTGAAGCACTTTAGGATTCTTCTAAATACAACCGGTAGATGGTGTAAAAAAGAATGACATAAAAAAATGTTTAACGTGTTTAAATTTTGGTTGCAACCTTTGCTATTCTGATAGATTTGATCAGCATGTTCCTTTAAATATAAACCTGTTTTCAGAGATTTTTAAATTAGAAATGTTTTTATGGGCTGAAATTTAACACATAGTAAGAGATCATTTGAGAAACATCTTGTACTCAAATGCCTGTAGGCTGACTTGGATAGCAATGTGACTACCTAGCCATCTATTATATAAAGATAACAACAAAGATACAACGATGTTTGTTCCTA